CACGTAATTTTCAGTTCCAGCATAATTAGAATTGCACTTGGGTACACAACAATGCTCAGGCATTGCTACAATATTAACAGTCAGCACTAAACAACAAACTATATTGACAAATTTAGAGCTTTACAAGAACGTACACACGCCTCGTAGTAGTTACAAAACTAAAGGAAAAATGATGGACGGAAAGCATGACTCATCTCTGACTTGTTCGACAAGAGTCATGGCCTTCTCCTTCTCGAAGGTCACGGTGTGTGCCTCGTCTAGCGAGCTCATAATCAGTCATTGAGCGAATGTCTCAAAGTCTAGCGCTGAGTTGGTCGTCGAGTGCATCAAGAGAGTCTTTTAATGCATTGCAAATTAGTGCATCGTCGAGTTTTGTCTTAGACTGTGCTGAGTTGAGAACTGTACTCGTGTGTATCGTTGAGTGCATCGCGTGAAGAGTCTCGAGAGTACGTGGAGTTCAGAAAACGACGAAGCAGAGTTGGGAACTGTACTCGGGTGCTTTGCAGTGAAGCTGTCTCCACTGTTATTGCCTGACAGTGTGAAGGCTGTGTCGCTGAACGTGTCAGTGTATTTATAACAGTTCGACAACTGTAAAAGTAATTTTGGAGCTATCTGATTAATATTGGTAAATAAAGTGTGTTTCGATACTTCATCAAGTGTCGTCATTATTCACTCCAAATCCTCACGAACCCCCTACGAACATGAAAGAAGAAAATAACGTAACAACTGGTGTCAGAAGACTAAAAAACGTAACAATATGTAATATTTGTATAAATAAAAAGAGATATTAATTTTTCAGATTCCAACATTAAATCTCATCTGACCTGAATTGTTAAAATAGAAATGCATATACTTTATGAAAGTTGTCAGCAAAAATAAGCAAATAAAACGATAAATAATTTATAATTAAAATGAAATAAAAGATAAAAATATAACATCACAAAAATCAAATATAATTTGAATAAATTGTGGTGGTAATGCTTAAAGTAACAAGGCATTATGTCAAGCATACAAGAAAAGTAAGTATTTTAACCTGCCTTCAGATAAAAATTGCTCCTTTCTTTTGGCTTCTAATCCATTTGAAGCCTCCTTAACCAGATGATTACATCACAGTCTTTCTTATCTAGTAGAACTGAGTAAAAATTCCTCATCCTAAATAGATCACATTTCAAAGTTGAAATTTTCTCATGTATTTCCAAGAAAAGAAACACATTCAGTATCCACTACCTGTATCAGTTTAACTATTAACTGTTTAACTTAAATAAAATGGTACAGTAATAACAGAATTTTATGTTAGTACTGCAGTTCTCTTATACAAAAAAAAAAATATCAGACCTCATCTTATTTGCGATCTACCTTTAAATAAAATCTGAATTTTATCAGGCTTTATTCATTTAACCAAATATGACTTCAATTATTAAATGTAAACCATCATATGTAGATAGAAATTAATCTTATGAATTTAAAACTGAGGCTGAAATTTATGAAAATTAACATTATTCCTTTTATTGTATTCCATAAAGCTCATAAATAAGGTTTTATGTTAGGAAATAATTATGCTTCTAAAAAGAATACTAATTTTATAATGAATAATTTTATAATTTGGCTGAGCAGTATTTTCTACACTTTAACCACTTGCCTGATTATCCCGAGTTATCTCAGGTTCGTATATATTGCAGTTAATTATTATCCCGAGAAAACTCGAGCGACGCAGAATTTGTTAGTACGATTTCTTTTATCACGGTTTTACTCGGTCTGGAGGAAATGAAAGGAAATATTTAGCTTTGATTGGCAGTTTTCCAAATTTTGTTGGTTGCACGGTTCTTTTGGAGGGACTGGTCGCGTGTTTCCCTATTGTATAGTATACGTTGGCTTGTGGATTAGTAATGTATAAAGAAGGATGCATGCATTGGAAAAAAATAAAATATTGGCGATGATGGAAGATAGCGAAAGCGATGATTTTTCAGATGGTGATTATGAAAAGGTTGGGAAAAAATTTAAAAAAAAAAAAAAAATCCAACGAGACAGTGTACTCTGTGCTCCCATGAAAGAGATTCCAGCGGTAAGCCAGTAAGAAAAGAGACCAGATACCAGTGTAGAACGTCAGTATCACTCTGTGTTGTCCCTTGGTTTCAAAAAACTGTCATATAAAGATTAATGTTTAACTTTTTTTCGTTTGCCCGAGATAACTCGGGATAGTAAAACTAACTATTAAAAATAAATGCTTTTACACCTTCAAAAAATTAAAAATTCAACTTAAAACCTACATATTTTGGTTTGTTTCGTTTTGTTGTATTTAATAATAAAATAAAAAAATGTGATGATTTTTTGCAATTTTTTTCAAAAAAATTTGTAAGGGAAGCGGTTAACATGTACATAGGCTGTCGAAAAAGATCTGATCTAACATAGAAAAAAGATTTTTTTCACCAAAATTACCTTTATTTTTCGATAGTCTTCTTGTAAGTCTATACATGTCTGAATGTGCATCATAGTGTCATCACTAGGCTGTGGAATAGGTTACCAAAGAATCAAAACCCCTGTATGGGCTTCAGAGGATTATCAGAATGGCAGATGATACTTGCTGTTGCTCTGTGCAAGGCACCGTAGATTACTAACAGCCTGAATCTTGATGTTGCATCTCTCTGCAGCAGTAGGACAGCTCATATCCCAGGAAACACTGTTGCATCTACTGCATGAAAATGGACTGTAGCCCGACAACCTGTGATTTGTATTCCTTTTTCTCTATCGCATGTCACAGTGGGCTTGAATCGGGCCTGTGAACATTGCATTTGGATAACAGAGCCAGTGGGGCCATGTGCTCTTTATGGATGAGTCTCGATTTAACATCCAGAACAACTCCCAGAGAGTAATGATATGGTGAGAACCAGGGACATGCTATTGGGCACCAAACGTAGTCGAAAAAGACAATTACAGAGGAGGAGGCTTACTTGTATGGGTTGGAATACCAATAAACGGTTGCACCATACTCTGCGGGATTCCAAGTGGTTCTGTCACTGCTGTCTGATATTGTGACAAAATTCTACATCCTCATCTGTGCCCTTTTATCGCTGCAGTAAGGACCAGTGTGGTATTTATGGACAATAATGCCCACCCACATAGAGCTTGAGTGGTGTGGAGTTATCCTGAGAATGAAACCATTCCTGATCTGCCATGGGCCGCTAGATCACTAGACCTGAATCCCATAGAGCATGTGTGGGACATATTGGGTTGACAGATAGCAGGTCATAATGTGCCGCTAAACACCCTCTATGAGCTCCAACATGCGTTACTGCAGGGAGGAATACTACTGCCTCAGTGAGCAATCAGCAATACTATTGAAAGCTTGCCTCACGATTGTCAAGCGTGCATTTCAGCTAAGAGGTTATCATACCTGTTATTAGCGTGATGTTTCCATTGTGCATTCTTCTGACCCATTTGGTCTTTCATCACGTAATGCTCATAATATATGTGTTTTTGTATGTCTTTGCTTCATTTTTTGCTATGTGGTCTAATAATGCTATACCAACCTCTTGGATAAATTTCATGCATACCCATTAAATACTTTTTCTTTTATTGCATGTTTTGCCTTTGTTGCTTATTTTTTAGCAGAGGTGTATTTTAGTATGTGTTCTAGCAAACTGTGTTATTTACAAGTAAAATTAGCAAAATAGCGGTATCACATGGTAAAAGAAAGATAATGAAAAATAAGTCAGCTATACTACAGACAATTGATTTGTTTTTCTGTGAACTCCAAATACTGACCTAATGGTGATGTGTTTCTTTTCTTTAAAAAAAAATATGTTTTAAGTTACCATATTAAATTTGTATGCATTATAAAGATTTCCAACTAACCCCAACGAATTGCATCCTAGGATCTGGGTTTTTTTTTTTTTTTTTTTTTTTTTTTTTTTTTTTTTTTTTTTTTCGTTAGCCAAGTTTAAAATAACAAGTTAATGTTTAAATATTAATTCAAATAGAATTAAAGAATTAAGTGGCTGATTTTTTAATCAGTGAATTACAAAAGTTAATTTTACTAGTCCATTTAGTTGCAAATTGATATGGTGTGCACTGTTAAACATTTTATTATTATTTTTAATTAAAATATCCATTTAATAAATTTATGGTTTGAAATCAAATTTATTAATAGTTTAGAGCATTAGCTAAAAAAGTGAAAATTCTGGTACCTAATTTCCAAAGCATATTTAATATAACTAGCTATTAATGCAAAGTGATGTTCTAATCTGATATATTAAGACTGATGATGTGGTAAGTGATCCAGAAAGCAATTTGATGCTAAAATTTCCAACAATAAAAAAAATCTCAACCAAGTAATTTTTATGTAGTTTCCACCTTTAAAAAATTCATTGAGCATTCTTTGGGCTCATAAATAAAATTTTTTGTTGTAGTTTAATGCAGTTTTTTTTCCCTTTAAAATTAGAAGATGAAAATTTTTTGCGATTTCAGTTATCTTTAACTCTACTTAGGATGTTATATGATGTGTACTTTTCTCATCATTATATAGGTTAGGTTTTCACTAAATGGGATTATTTCACTTAAAAACTCCTAATTGTTGTGATTGTTGAAAAATCTCTGAGCATTTTGTTAAAAAGTCTGTCTTTTTAAAAAAATTTAACGTCTTTAAAATTCTTTTTCGTAGCTCCTAATTTAAATTGCCTGAAATTTCCTGTTCTTTTTTTAACATTAAAGTTACTTAACGACTATCTAACTATAAAAAAGGGGAACATTTTGCTTTCCCTGTTTAATCCCACCCTGAATTGATGATACAGAATATCTCAATTTTTGTCAAACTTGATATTTGTTCTGAAACTTAGAGAAAAATTGAATTTGGGCTTTCAATGCCATAGTATATACTGAAAAGCCTCAAATAAAAAATATTATTTTGTCTTTTATAAAAAATATTATTTGTCTTTTTTGTAAAAATATTATTTTTCATCTTTAAAGTTCTGTTAAAGGCTCACATACTCCTCTTTTTGTTTCAGCTTGCTGCTGCAAAGCGTATCCCTGGTATGACTCCATCTGCTTTATCTGCTCTTCTTTATTATGTGAAGAGACAAAGAATTTCATGTAACTCATAAATAAATTTTATATATCTTTATATACAGATATGTACAGATGAATAAAATTTTCATATTTTAAAATTTTGCTTGGCAGTTATTGTAGTGAAATTTGTTCATAAATTTTTCTCACTAGCAATGTAGTGATTTATTTTTTGGAAACTGTGTCATAAAGTATAGGAAATATATATATATTTTTTAATTAATGTTATAAGTGGCTTTGAAAATAATGGAATTTGCATCTGCATCATTCCAACGTATAATGCACACTTTTAATGCAAAAAATAAGATCAAAATTTACGTGTACGCATTATATGCCAGATATAAAATTATATAGATTTAAAAATAAGGAAAAGATGAGCATACAAAAATTAGACGTCTACATTTACCTAAATGCTGTTTATTCAAAAGAAATTATACACCTTATAAACTTAGGTACGTTCGTTATCGGATAACGTGAAAAATTTGTCTTGCATTATACCTTCATACACTTCATCGAATTTTGTTTCATCTTCACCATCATTGTTACTGTGATCCATAAGCAAATAGTCATTTTACGTTCATCTAGATTGTTAGATATACTACGTTTTATAAATAACTTTTGAATTATGACAGGATTACTTTCTCTCCATGCTTTTATGATCCACTCACACACTGTGTCGAGACTGCTGTGATGAATTTGGCCTCTTTATCCTTCTAACATCCACATATTCACTATTGTTTTTAATTTTTTTTTAATGGTTTATTGACACAAACATTTAAAAGGCTGAGCTAATGGCATTACTCCACCTGGAATAACTGTCATATCTGTATTGCATTCTTTCAATAATCTCTTCATATTATCTGTTAGACGGAATTTGAACATATTCCAACTACAAGACTTTCTGGATTCTTTAAGGCAATAGGACGCTTTTGACAAACATTTCTTTTTCACAATTTCACACTATTTTCGTTCATCCATCCTTTCTTGTGAACATGAATGAAAACACTATTTGAGAAATTACATTTCAGTATCGTCTGTCTTTTAAAAGTAGCCTATGGTTTTAACTGCGCACTGTTCGATAAGCCCCCCCCCCACAACTGGGACAGTGGTTAGTGATGTTAACTGCTGTACCGAATGGCCCGGGTTCGAATACCGGCAAAGGCAAGGATGTTTGTAAATGTATAGTGTGTGTGTGGCATAGAGGCTCTCTAAAAATGTGGCATGCTGAAAGCTCTCTTAAGAGGTTGTTGGTAGGAAAAGAAGGGTGGGAGACCTCGAACATCAAAACTCGGGGTGCTCTTCTTCAAAATTGGGGGAGGAACTGAGCAAAGTCATACTGTCACCTGTATGGTGCTCAAGGCTGTTGCCAATAGCAGACACAATCTTGAGTCCTTGCCATTATGAATTGATTCAGGCTAGCGAGATTAATAACAATAACAAGCCAAGTAAAAAAGTGCTACAGTGAGGTAAGATTTTCGTGAACTGTTGTTTTTATGTGAACTGCTTTTGTTTCTTTTACACCAAATGTTTTATTTCTTATATCAAATATTACTGTAGTTTTATTCGCATTTCCAATATGTGACAATAAATATATCTATATCTATATATACTTTAACTTAGTAGACGTAAGTAAATAACATACTTAGTGACTTACTAGAAAGTAGATTAATAATATACTTTCTGGAAACTTTTCAATTTGTTGCCCAAATTTTCCCGAAGCCTTTGCGAAACTTTTTTCTCGAGGAACTAAATTATTTCACGCCATAAATTGACTACACCAACTCAAGTTTCACTTTGATGTGCATTCTTTTTCGCCCACTTTAAGGCAAATAAATGTACGCTGTTTCTTGTTACAATTAACCCATCTTGCGATTTTCTAGGACCCAAATTCGCTACACTTTCTACAAGGGTAGGTCATTTACTTTCTCCTTTATGCAAAGTACATTTATTCTTTGGCATATTAATTATTGTGATTTCATTTTTCTTTTACTCACGTATGGAGCGTTCAGAACCAAACATCCTTGCTGCAGCACGATTTTCATTTTCTTTCACAGGCTGAATGACTTTACATTTGAAACCATCAGCACTGTGTTTATTTCTTTTGGCAGGAGCCATATTTACTACTAAGAGGAATACTAGATCAACTGTGTTTCATATAAAGCAAATGCGATTTATAAAATCCTCCAATATTCACTTCAAAATAACGCCTTCAAATGACTTCCAGAAAAGAAAATATCTGACTCCTATTCACGTCGGAAGTGCCTTCTTACCTAAAATCACGTCCCCATTTTCTCGAAATTCTAGAATGACATGGGTGCATCTGCATTGAATACGACCCACACCCTTTGGAGATTTTTTTTTTAATCTCTCAAGCATTTCTCCCCCCCACACTCCTTAACACTTGCCATTTCAATATACCATTGTTTGAAAGCCTGAGAAAAATCTTCGAATGTAATGTCTTCAAAGGGAAAGAACATCGCACATGTATCTTTCAGGTTTCTTTGCAAAGAAAAAGGTGTATGTTATCTTGTAAATATACTTAATAATATAAAATAAAAAAGTGTAATTTAAAATTCTATGTGCACATTATACACCCGAGTATACGGTATACAATTGATTGTATACTTCTCCAAATTCAGTGTTGAAGTAAACCCTTTTTATTTCACTTAATCTTGTATATTCTTTACTTTTTCCAACTGTATAAAAAAAACACTTGAAAAATTGTGTGAATTTCTTGATATTTTTAAAAGTTTATCGATTTTGCTGTTGTCTTAAATAACATGGAATATATTTTAAATCTGCTTATCAAAAAATAACTTCCATGTGTTTTGTCTCTCTTAAATATTAATAATGTAAAATTTGATGTTGAATATTGCTAACATCTCATTTCCAATCTTTTTCTTAAATCAGATATAAACTGCGATAAATTTTGCAGGAAACTTTATGCAGGTCAATGAATTATTACTAGTATTTTATGCTTATTTGCTAGATGCATTCATCCTTGTTAGTAAGAACAAACTCTTCCCCCCCTCTCTCATTGCGTTTTGCTTCAGCTTAAATAGAAAGATTTTGTGATTCATCTTGAGACCAATAAAGCAAGGCTACACATATTACACAATATCCATTTCGGACTGTTTTTATTGCACCTGTGCACCTGCACATAGTCTTTAAATTAATGCATCTCATTTTCAACAAATTTAGATTCAAAACTTTCCATTTGTTAGGCAATACAAGCGAAGAGATATAAATATCTTTCCATAAAATTAAAATATATTGTAATTTGTAGAAAACAAACTACATTACCGTATTTACTCTCATAATAGTCGCACTTCTTTTGCCAATTTTTCGTTGTGAAAGTAGGTTCGACTGTTATTATGCGGGGAAAATGTACTCCACAATATTGTACACGTTTGATTTTTTTCTGCTTCAAATCAGGGGTGCGACTATTACGCGAGTAGATATGGTATATTTTAATTTAATTAAAATATAGCATAGTTGCTATTTATATTTTAATTTAATTAAAATATAGCTATGCTATATTTTAATTAAATTATGGCTTATAGACCTTTATATTGGCGAGATATATTTGCTATATTATCGAAGCTTTTGTAAGCATTCTGCTAGAAGTTAAAGAAATTTATCTGCAATTGCTGTCTCATCTATCAATTTATTGATGCTTAATTTAATAGATTTTTGAATTGTTCGAACCAATAACCATAGCATCAAATGCAATGTCTGTCTGTGACACCAGCCATCTGGTGTATAATGACCTATATTTCTCCAAAATAGTGAGAAATAAGCTAGATAATCAGAAGATTCAATAGTGTCCGCTTCTGTCTGAATCATCGATCTACCCTGAGAATAATTTCTTCATATCTGAAATCGGGCCTATCTTCGTTGTAATGAATGTGCCCTTTAACATCACCGTACCTTTCCTGCTTTCAATAATGCAAACTTTATCCTCCACTATTGAAGCCAATTTTTATTTCGAGCTATTATTGCTGTAATTTTCTCGTCTTCGCACATAATAATTATTTTCGACTTTTGGTCGGAAGAATATTGTTGACCCTTGTTTTTAGATTTATTGCCCAAAATATTGGTTTCGCATTTCGAATCCATGTTAGGGCAGGTAAACAATAGCACTTACGGTAATAAACAAGTGACTATACGAGTATTGTTTAATACAAGACGTACAGAGCAGAAAAAGAAAAGAATTATTATAGTCTTTATTTCATATTCGTAAGTTTCAATCAGAGCTGGATTACCATTAAACAAATTATGCACGTATATATTATTGATGTAATTTTCTCGTCTTCGCACGTAATAATTATTTTCGACTTTTGGTCTGAAGAATATTGTTGACCTTTGTTTTTAGATTTATTGCCCAAAATATTGGTTTCGCATTTCGAACCCATGTTAGGGCAGGTAAACAATAGCACTTACGGTAATAAACAAGTGACTATGCGAGTATTGTTTAATACAAGACGTAAAGAGCAGAAAAAGAAAAGAATTATTATAGTCTTTATTTCATATTCGTAAGTTTCAATCAGAGCTGGATTACCCTTAAACAAAATATGCACCTGCTTAGGGTATTCACATGAAAGAGACACCAAAGAAATTTACTGTTTTCATGGAATGTATCGTGCAAGACTAAAAATAATTTAATTAACGCAAAAAGAAAAATAAGAAGATTGAAAAAATTAACTGGATTTATTTATTTTCCTCACAAATTTCTCTGAATTCCAAACTTTGAGCAGAAAATTAGCGATAGTACTATAATACAATGAGCAGCACATGAAAAACTAAGGAAGTACTTTCACCCTTGGAAAAATAGTGATGATGTGTTGAGAAGACTACCCCGTCTGACCTTTAAACGCTTTTTAAATCATTAAAGTATTGTCTCTTTGGCCGCTATACTGTGCTTCCTTCTGCTATTACACAATAGAAATTGAAAGCAGTGGCGTAAATAAGGATATGCAAGGAATGCCGTCGCATAGGGGCCCGAAGGCTTAGAGGGCCCTTAACTGTCCTGCTGAACTACATTTACATGTTTAAACTTAAAAGATGGATTCCATTACATATATCAAGAAGAAATATCCCTTGAT